TTTTTCAACTCATTCACCACTATTAGCAGTTAATTTTCACCAGTGATGTACAAGAGCCTGCATACTGTGCTCACAAATGTTTGCACTAGCAGAGATGACCCATGATTGCTGTCACCACTGCTGAAGTGCATTACCCACCTGTCACTGTGCTCACATCCACTGTTTGATCTCCATAAACATTAAGCAAGCATCAGTGAATGTCAATGAGTACAACTTTTTCCGCATGAAGGAATTCAGTGACACACCTTTGCTTTGTACACACTTCCATGTCAGACACCATTTTGTCAGAATACCCCTCTGCTGCCATCTGTCAGACAGCAACAACACATAATATAATATTGGTGGGAATGTTCAACCTCTACTGCATACCAACAGTATTTGCGTCTGACATTGCAGTCCAACAGTCCGAACAGGAAGTTTTCAGAGCAGTACACATATATATATATTCTCAAATTAAGACCTTGTTAAAGAGTTGTAACTTTCTCTTCTTTACATCTGGCCTAACTATTCATAGGACTATTTGACAGAGAAATCAGAGGTGAACAAAGAGTTGTTGTCCCCTATCTGTTCTTCTCATTGCTTCTGACTGTTTGTTACCATGTATTCCTATCATATATTCCATGTATTCATACTGTACCTGTATCCATACTTATCCAATTTTAAGTGTTTCTTTCAAGGGTTGAATATATAATCCAAATTATTTACCTTTTTTTTTTTTTTTGGAAAAGGGTTGATTTTTATTTGTATGTGGAAGGAATTCTCTTGTTTTTGTTCTGTTTTGTTTTTGGTCATTTTTTTTAATTATTATTTTTTTCTGATAAGGAACTCAACTCTTCCTTTTTTCTTTACCTTTTTTTTTTTTTTTTTTTTTTTTTTTTTTTGCATTCTCCAAAGCAAGACTGCTACAATTGAACTTAAGCACTTGAAGCATTTTTGTAGGTGACTATATGTCCTGTTGTCGTTGTTATCTCTTTGCCAAGACACTCATGATTAATGACTTCTTCCTTACATGTCAGCTCTTTTATTGTTATGATCTTTTATAACATCGTTGTAACCTGTAAATTATTTCTAATGTATGAAAGGACTGTTTGTACTGCAAATACAAAATATCTTTTCACCTTGTGTAAGTAGTCTAATTAGACAAGGAGTTTGGTGTCAATGTAAAGCTTCTACAGGTAGGGCTGTATGTTTTCAATACCTGAAAATTAGGTGCTAGAGTCTGTGTTCATAATACGTCACAATTTCCATGAATTCATGTGGATATTTATGTGAATATAGAAAGCTCAATTTGCCTTTAGTTTTGGGTGTTACACAGATTGAGAGGCTGGAAAAGACTGTTCTGATCCTTCTCAAAATCCCTCCATTATTAAATCACAAGGACTGCAGTTATTGACTGAAGCTGGAACATGAAACCACATTCACTTGATTAGCCATCATGAGCTAAAATCTTTCTCAGCAGCTGAAGCTTGAGTAGATTCTCCCATCTCCTATGATCTCTGCCTCATTTTCATTCTAGACAGGTAAGGCTATGTCTGGCAATCTTGAATTAAACATAGTCTTCTCCATGTTCCTTCCCAATTGATCCAAATTCAAACTGATCTCTGTGTTTATTTTGTGTTAGACCCTATTTTGTTTCAATGCCATATTTTACTGGTAGACTTCTTTTCATTTTTTCTGTTTTTTTTTTTCTGTTTTTTTTTTTTTTTTTTTTTTTTTTTTTTTTATAATTACTCTCACACTTTACAATGTGCTTCCTAATTGGACTGTTCCTTGGTGTTAATATAATTTTCAAATCATCTTTGATGCTGAGCATGTGATCAGAGACAGCAAGCATGGCTTTACCATGGGAAGGTCATGCTTAACCAACCTGGTGGCCTTCTATTATGGAGTGACAGCATTGGTGAGCAGAGGGAAGGCAACTGATGTCATTTAGCTGGAAGTATTGAGCAAGGCCTTTGACGTGGTCCCCCACCACATCCTTATCTCCAAATTGGAGGGATGTGGATTTGATGGGTGGGTCACTCAATGGATAAGAAACTGGTTGAAAGGCTGCAAAGGGTGGTCATCAATGGCTCTGTGTCCAGGTGGAGGCCGGTAACGAGCGGCGTCCCCAGGGGTCTGTGTTGGGACTGGTGATCTTCAACATCTTTATCAATGACATCGATGATGGAATCGAGTGCTCCCTCAGCAAGTTTGCTGATGACACCAAGCTGAGTGGTGCAGTTGACAAGGTAGAAGGAAGGGATGGCATTCAGAGGGACTTTGACAGACTTGAAAAGTGGACCCGGGTGAACCTGATGAGGTTCAACATTGCAAAGTGCAAAGTTTTGGGCCAGAGGAATCCAAAACATTTATACAGACTGGAAGGAGTAGTCATTGAGAGTAGCAAATGGTATCCTGGGCTCCATCAGAAGAGAGGTGGCCAGCAGGGACAGGCAGTTGATTGTCCCTCTCAACTCTGCTCTTGTGAGGGCCCCATCTGGAGTACTGTGTCTGGGTCTGGAGCCCCCAGTACAACAAAGACAGAGAGACACAAAGTTGATCAGGGGGCTTGAGTACTTCCTTATGAAGACAGGCTGAGGGAGCTGGGCTTGCTCAGCATGGAGAAGAGACGGCTGTGGGATGACCTCATTGCATCCTTTCAATACCTAAAAGAAGCCTACAAACAGGGGGAGGGGAATCAACTCATTGAAAGGGTAGATAGCAGCAAGATAAGAGGAAATGTTTTTGAGGGAGGGAAGATTTAGGTTTGATGTCAGGAGGAAATTCTTTACTATGAGAGTGGTGAGGTGCTGGAACAGGCTGCCCAGAAAGGTTGTGGATGCCCTGTCCCTAAAGATGTTCAAGGCCAGATTGGATGGGGCCCTGGGCAGCCTGGACCAGTATTAAATGGGGAGGTTGGTGGTCCTGCCTGTGGCAGGGGGGTTGGAAATTCATGATCCTTGAGGTCCCTTCCAACCTGGACCATTCTGTAGTTCTGTGATTGATGCCAGCAATGGAGTGGGTTCCCTGTTGCTGCTAGGCACTGGTGCCTCCCTTTTCTTCATGACTGGGTACTGCTAATCACCAAGCTGGTGAAATGTGGGCACCACTGCTCCACCTTCCCTCCCAACAATTACAGATGTTTATCTGACCACCCAAAACACCCAGTTGTTAGTTATCTCTTGCAGCAGTTCTTTCTTTTTCTTTTCAGATCTCAATAGATGAGTTGAACACTTCATCCAAATATTTTTTTATATGAAATAATAAAATTATTTCATATATTTCATATGAAGGTTTTGTGATATAAAATTTTCACTTTTGATTTGTTTTTAGAAAGTGATTTGTTTTGTGTAGCTGTGTAGCCTCCTCTTGATTTGTGTTTATTTAGTGTATATATGAAATGGGAAACATTTCTTCGTGAACTGTCAGGTATTAGTCTCTGGCTTTTTCTCAACTATAAGACAAAACTATGTGCATATTTTGGAATTCGTATTTTACTATCTGAATTTTTGTCTGGGTCTGGAATGCCTCTGTTATGAGTATTTCCTTAATTCCTGGCACTCCTACAAAGCTCTTTACTCTCTCTATAACACTTATATATTATAATGCCTTTTTTTTTCATGTTGAAGGAATTTCTAAAACCTGATTTCTTATTTAGTTTCCTACCTATGAACTTTTCTCTTATTTACAGTAGAATTGTTGCACTTTACTTTAAATTTAGGAAGGAATAATGCTTTTTAGGTAAAAAATCATTTAATGCTCTTTTTTCTGAACTTTCTAACAGGAGCTTATTTTATCTTCAACTTCCTCTGTTCACTGGGAACAATTCAAAGTGTATTTAGGTGTTGTGAGATTATTAGTCTCTGGGATCACATTTCCGTTTTCCCTTTCCTGTCATCCTCTCTGTCTTTGTTCTCTTCCTCCCTTCTTTGTTTCCATTTTTCCGCCCTTAGATTCCAGTTCTCTGCTATTCCTGGTACAGCTGGACCTCAGATGATAAACAAAACACTCAGTGGGATCACTCCTGTTTTTCTGCTTTTCCTTTTGTTTCACTTCTGTATTTGAGTTTTATTATTTCCTCTAACTTGTTTTCAGCATGACCATCAGCAAGGAGACCCACGCAGCTAGAGGCAGGAATAATGTCATAAGGGCTATAACATGATATAACTCAGCTGAAATGCACAGAGATTTGTGTCTGAAGAAATTTTGAAAGAAAGTCTATTTCTTTACAGCTGAGTTAGGAAGGTGAGGATTTCTCCACTCACCCACAGATAGAGACTTCAACAATTAAAGAAAAAGGGGAAAATACTGGTAAGCAATACATAAAAGCAGATGAGGAAGGTAGACATAGCAGTCAGTCTTTGATTCTGATGCTTCACATATGTGGATTGAAAACAGCAGAACTCTTGTGACCTGGAGAACATGCAAGGTGCACATGATCCTAGACAGGTCTCTGGCATCAGAGGTCTTGGCTTTTGCAGGACCATAGCAATGTCCCATGGTATCTGCAGGATAAGTGAGACTGTGGTGAGCCATGACTAGGGCATACAGGAGAAAGGGTGCATCAGTCCTACTCTACATGAGAAGACTTCAGGGTAGTATTTAGACTCTTTGAAATTATGATGGCATAAGGCCCATGTCATGCTGACAGTGGTAGTAGCTCTCTACCCCCACATTCCTCCTCACCATAGATTTCAGTTAGAGGATCTTCAAACAAATATTTCAGCATCACTGTAAAAAAAACCGTACAGCTCTTTCCCCTCCTGCAAACATATTGTGTGGTTTTATTTTTTGTGCCTACATGTAGGTAGTGTAAGTAATTTTTTATTACTGACATGAATCCTAATATGTGGAAATATTTTCATTGCTATTTTCATGTCACGGAGTTATCTAGATCAATCTGTGCCTATGACAGGGGGCAGCAGGCCTGCAGGTCCCCAGACCCAGAAATGGGAAGGGAAAAGGGGAAGGGTAGGAAAATGGGAGCTGGGCCTGAAAACAGTACAACGGCAACGATCTAGGGAGGAAACTTAATTTTACTAAATATGGTATCAGAATACAAGATAATACAATATAATACAATATAATACAATATAATACAATATAATACAAAATAATTGGAATTGAAGCTAATAAATCAAATAAAATGAGAGAGTGTCCGAAACTGAAAACCATGACTTTGACTTGAAGGTGCACAGCTGGGGAGCACACCCACACACTGCCAGGCAGTGAGAGAGAGTCCTGTGACTTCCTCCCGTGAACTATCTTCCCCTCTGGACGTGAAGTCGTCTGGAGTATGTACTTCTTCTTTCTCTTCTGAAAACCAGGTATCTGAAAAGTTGTCAGCCCATTGAACTGGAGTATTAACTCTTTAATTCCCAGTGCTTTACATGATGTTATGATATGGAGTGCAAATAACAAAATTATAAAACTGTGACAATACTTTTGAAACTAATTGTGCCTGGAAAACCAGGAGAATTCTATAAACTGAAGTAGTGTTCATATGATTATTTCTAACACACCTGAAGTGTTTTACATCCCTTTAACTAAAGGACTTCATGGAGTTTTCTCATTTGCTTGTTTGTACGTGTTTTTAACGGGAGACTGTGAGGTGCATTTTGTATAATCAATGACAACAGCACTTAAGTAATCTTTTCCTTTTGGTTAAAGAATCCTTGTTCTTTTGAAAGTACAATTTTTAAAAGATTTGATTCAGTTCAGTGCTTGATTTGGTACAGTTGGTCTTTTCTTACTTATGTCTTCTCAAGTTCTCTTAGGTAAGGAAGTGACAATAAATCACAACATCTACTGATTGCAAAGAAAAGCTCTGCTGTATTTACAGACTACTCCCAGGCTTCCTATTGCACAGGGGACTTGACTGTTCTTTTAGCTGATACCTGAAAAACATCCCAAAGAGAAACAGGTGTTACACTAGAAAGTAAGAAATCTCAGTTTAATGGCAGATAATGGTCCAGCAATACAGCCAGGAGAAATTCAAAGCAAGCTTCTAGGTAACATATTAGTGAATGCATTCTTCATTGATGATGAATTGATAATGCTGAAGTTGAAAACTCATAATTATGTTTTCTTCTGAGAGGTCTAGTTCACGCATACAGCCATGGAATGAAAGAGTGTTTGCAGCATCAATGTAGATGTCGGTACTGTTAGCACCAGTGTGGCTCAGCAGTGACTGGCATCAACTGATGGTATGCAAATGAGGAACACAGCTGTGCCTATGAGAACAATTGCATGGTTGTTTCAAATGAAAATCACAGATGGCTATGGAGAAAACAGAAAGAAAATGGAAAAACAAGCAGACATACAAATGTCAAAACAGATTTAAGTGCTTTCAAGCCTGATTGGTTGTGTTTGTGCTTATTTGACATCGATGTAAAAGACAATATATAGACAGACCAATTTCCTTGAGCAAGTCAGTTCATTTTGAGAAGTCAGTCGTTGGATCCTCTGAAGGCTTCGTATATTATGTATGAATCAGTGCACAGTGGTTTCCAAATGTAGATGACGCTTGAGAGGCAGTTAGCATGCATTTCTATTGGGAAATAGAAAATACGGCAATTTAAATCAGGCATAAACTATGTTGTGGATGGCTTCAGTTTTGTGGGAGTATATTTCCTGGCATTTTGCATTTCATTTTAGTTCTTAATACAGCTGCTCATCACGTGGATATTTATTCTATTCCTCTACAGTCAGTACGAGGATCTCACCAGATTAAGACATCAATTTAATCTGCTGAGGAGATCATTTGACCCATCCCTGTTTGAAACAGACATGGTTTAATCCATTTTCCAAAAGTGTCTTTTATTTGCACATGCAAGAGACTGTAGTTTTGAGCCTTTCTTACCAATTACAGGCCAAAGGTATTTAAAAAACTTGGATCACTGATTCTGATTTTACCCCTCCATTTATAAAAGAAAGACTGAGCTCTCTGAGGATATATTAGCATATGGAGACCACTTATTTGCCCAATTTTTTCTCTATACGCTACTAAAAAATAAAATAAAAATTTCTGTTTTGACGCATATAAAAACTTTTCTAGTACTGTGAACACAGAGTAAAGAAAATGCTTCACGAAAACAGTAGCACTTTAGTATTTGATTTGTAAATAAACAGTGTGGTGACTTTGATTATGAAAGACAAAGTTTTTCATTCAGATGTGATGATTGTTATTCTTTTATGCAAGTGTTTTACTAACCCCCACAAAATATGATTCGCCAAGATGGGGAGCCAATGAGGCATGTTTTAAGTGAGGCGAAAGAAAGACATTGTAAATGCCTGAGTTTCTAAGTAAGCTTCATGCTCTACATGTAATAGCTACTTCTAGGGTCCAAAGCAAGCATCTTTTGTTGTGATCAGAAAAATGCAGAGTTTTGGAGGACTTTAAGCTAGTATTGCTATCTGTGGCACAGGCTGAGAGAATCATAGAATCATAGAATTGCTCAGGTTGAAAAAGACCTTCAAAATCATCAAGTTCAATCACAACCTAACCAGACTGTCCTAATTTGAACAACCCTCCATGAAATCATGTTCTCGAGCGCCACATCCAGAGGGTTTTTAAACACATTCAGGACTTAACCACCTCCGTGGGGAGCCTTTTCCAGTGCTTAACAACCCTTTCTGTAAGGATGCTTTTCCTAAAATCCAACTTTTCCTTTCCTGGCACAACTTGAGGCCATTTCCCTTCGTCCTATCACCTGTCACCCATCACCAGTGAGAGGAGACCAACCCCACTCTCACTGCAATCACCTTTCAGGTATATGAAGACAGCAGTAATGTCTCCCATCAGCTTTTTCTTCCCCAGACTAAACAGCTCCGGTTCCTTCCCAGTGCCTCACAGGGCACATTCTCCAAGGCCTTCATCAGCCTAGTCATCAGCACCTGCTTGAGCACCTTAATATCCTTGCTGTATTGAAGTGCCCAAAACTGAACGTGGTGCTCATGGTGGGGCCTCATCAGTGCCAAGTACAGGGCAGAATTACTTCCCTCGTCCTGCTCACCACACCATTCCTGATACAAGCCAGGAGGCCACTGGCCTTCTTGGCCACTTGGGCACACTGCTGGCTCATATTCAGCTGACTGTCCATCAGTACCTAGGTCCTTTTCCACCAGGCAGCTTTCCAGCCACTCCTCCCCAAGCCTGTAGGGTTGCCTGGTGTTGTTGTGACCAAAATGCAGGAACCAGAACTTGGACCTACTGAAACTCATACAGCTTGCCTTGGCCCATCAATCCATTCTATCCAGATCCCTCTGTAGTGCTTTTCTACCCTCCAGCAGAACAACACTCCCTCCCAGCTTGGTGTCATGTGCAAACTTACTGAGGGTGTATTCAATCCCCTCATCAAGATCATTGATGAAGATGTTGAATAGGAGTGACCCCAGTACCATGCCCTGGGGAAACTGGTTGGCTGGTTACAGACCAAGGGTTGTGATTAATATTTCTGTGTCAGGGTAGAGGCTGGTCACAAGCAGTGTTTCTCGGGGTTTGGTTTTGAGACCAGTGCTTTTCAACATCTTCATCAATGACATAGGCAATGGAATCAAGTGCACTCTCAGCAAGTTTGCAGATGACATCAAGCTGAGCTGTGCAGTCAATACACTGGAGGGAAGCCATCCAGAGAGACCTGGAGCTGGAGAAGTTTCCCCATGAGAGCCTAATGGGGTTCAATAAGGCCAAGTGCAGGGTGCACTTGGGTCGTGGTAATTCCCGGTATTTATACAAACTGGGGAAGATCTCCTTGAGAGCAGCCCTGCAGAGGAAGACTTGGGGGTCCTGGTGGATGAGAAGCTGGACATGAGCCAGCAGTGTGTGCTTGCAGTCTGGAAGGCCAACTGTGTTCTGGATTGCATTAAAAGAAGAGCGTCCAGCAGGGACAGGGAGGTGATTTTCCCCCTCTACTCAGCTCTTATGAGGCCTTATCTGGAGTTCTGTGTCCAGGCCTGGGGCCCACAACACGAGAAAGACATGGAGCTCTTGGAATGGGTCTAGAGAAGGGCCACCAAGATGATCAGAGGGCTGGAGCACTGCTCTTATGAGGAAAAGTTGAGGGAACTGGGCTTGTTTAGCTTGAAAAAGAAAAGACTCCAGGGAGACCTCATTGTGGCTTCCCAGTACTTAAAGGGAGCATATGAACAGGAGAGGCAATGGCTGTTTACAAGGGTAGGTAGTGATTGGACAAGGGGAATAGTTTTAAACTAAGACAGGGGAGAATTAGTTTAGATATTAGGAGAAATTTGTTCACATAGAGGGTGGTGACGCACTGGAAGGGGTTGCCCAAGAAGGTTGTGGATGCCCCATATATCTAGAGGCATTCAAAGCCAGGCTGGATGTGGCTCTGGGCAGCCTGGTGTAGTGGTTGGCAATGCTGCACATAGCTGAGAGGTTGAAACTAATTGATCATTGTGGTCCTTTTCAATTCAAACCATTCTATATGGTGATATGATATGACATGATTGATATATGATATCACTAATGACTAGCTATCAACTGGTTTTAATTTCATTGGCTGCAACACACTGTGCCCAGCCATCCAGCCTGTGTTTCATCCAGCAGAGTATGCCCATCCAAACTATGGGCAGCCAGCTTCTGCATGAGGATGCTGTGAGGGACAGTGCCAAGGGCTTTACTGAAGTCCAGGTAGACCACATCAACACACTTACTGCACTTACTTTCATCCACTGAGCGGGTCACCTTGTCATAGAAGAGAGGAGGGCTGAGGAGCTGAGAATAGTGAAGGGCTGAGGGCTGAGGAGGGCTGAGGAAGAGGGGTGGGCTTACTGGGTGGAGTGCTCAAAATCAAAAGCAGATTTGCCTTTGTTCTTGGAAATATCTCTGCCCTACATACACATCGCCTATACTCTAGGTACAGATGGGGAGATAAGTGTGCAATTCCAGCCTCCAGAAGAAATTTCCAAGGACTGGGCAGGCCAGTAGTGGAACACACTTATACCCTATGTCAGCATGCACAAGTTGTCACTCTGGGATTGAAATTATGTTGACTAATTAAAGACCTCAGAAGGTGCAGAAACGCTTGTGTGGCTACATCATTAGTAGGTACAAAACTAGGTCTGGAGTATCTAAACAAGCTTCTTTTATCCCTGTAGCTCTCTGAGGTGAGAAGAATTAACTACCTGGATTTCTGCATTCTCAGGATAGTTTCATTGCACTCCTAGGGCTAGACCAGGCTCTCCTAGGCACCCTGCTCACTTGTGAGAAGTGAAGCAATGACAAGTTGCATAGATGGCTCCACTAGCTATGAAAGAAGGATTTGGGGCATCAACTTGGAATGCAGCACTGTTGTTCAGAAGAAAGCTATACTCTTTCTTGTTTGAAGCCAACCAGCTTGCTCTATTCAAAGAAAATGGTATTGTAATGAAAAAGTGTTTGCTAACCGAACAGGTCTCCCTATATTCTGCTTGCTCTAGTAACCCTGCAGAGTGGAAAGAGATCAGCCCTGGAGTTTTAATAATATGGAGCTGCAGCTTTGCTTTGCAAATGAACAGACTTGTAATAGTGTCTGCTAAAACTATTCATGCCAAAACAAACATAAGGAAAGATTTTTTTCCATGTACCAAAGTCTCACTTAAGCATTTGCCAGAGAGCATATTTTATTTTTCCTGTCTTCTCTTCTGTCTGTGCCAGAGAAATTAAGATGCTGCAGATAGGTAACTGTCAACCGGCAACTTGGTATGGAATGACTACTTGACAAGATGTGGGCTCCAACTTACGTAGTTTTCTCTATATGCTGAGAAAACTCTTTAGTTTCAGCATTTTTAAAAGAGCTCAGGGCTGGGGTCTGCATTTTTCTGCAGTAAGCTCATGAAGTTGGATTCCCCTTGGACTTGCAAACCTTGGCCACATTCATATTTTACTTGAGCCACTCTGCACAACTGATACTTCTGGTGTTTATTTTTCTTGATTTGAAATAATTCTTATTTCCCTCTGAGGAAATCTTTCCTGGTAATGACCACTAGTTATAACATGCAGGCCATTATCCTCAGCTCTTCTCCCATGGCTCTATCTCACCTCATCCATCACACCTAGACATGAGGTCAGAGGTTGCCACAAAATGGGGGAAAAAATCATTTTTTTAAAGAATTGAATTATTTTGCTTAAAAACTTTGTCCTGAGGCTAGCTATTCAAGCCACAGTGGCTCAAGTGGCCTTCTGTAGCAATGGAGACCCAAAATTTCACAAGGGGGTGAAATTTTTGCTGGCAGCCTTGGGCATATTGACACCAAAAACACATACAATCATACTGAAAATGATCAGGAGATGCTCAGTGCACTTCTGCCACTGTGCTTATTCTTATTTCTTTGGTATGTGTTTATCAGTGTGTGCGGTGAGAAATGTCTCTGCAGGTGAGATGCGTACCCAGACCTCTTCCTCACAGCTGCAAATGTTTCCCTTCCAAACCTACATGTTGTGGCTGGATCCTCAGCTAGGAGGAATTTGAGGGGAGTCTGTTCTTCCTCTCTGCCCCAAGACTGAAGCATTTATAGAATTATGGAAGCATGAGATATACTTTT